AGTGTGTGCTGTTGGAGCTCTGAAGTTCCTTTCGCAGTGATGACTCAATGACGCAACTTTGGTAAATCACGGAGGAGGAAATGAACGTTTGATCTGGAAGCTTTTAAATATGTATAAATGTTCTTTCAAATACAAGATTTCAATTAGATTCAAAAGTCAACATTTGATAGAAAAGTTACAAATTTATTGAATCAAACATAAAAGATATTCCAGGAAACTGCATTAGTTAACTTTTAACTCGCTTAGTTTTCATGAGGTAAATTACATCAACAGTTACTTTAGATATGAGAAGGAATATTAGCTAAAAATGAAATGTAATTAGTCTGAAATAGTACGAAAAGAAACTCCTTAGGTTCTTGCTTATTATGAAAAAATGATAATATCAGTAATAAATCCCAAGTAATACCCCATTGTGACTATGAACAGTTATCTTCCAATTAATTAATAGGAAATGAATTACCGGCTTTTTAATTACTTATTAAACATTTTCTTCTTTTGCCCTGAGCAAATAATGTTTTGTTATTTTGCGATATAAAAACGTTATCTGTTCATTTGATATAGAGACGCAAACCTTCCCCTCTATTTTAAGTAAAATGTGATTGCTCATAACCTGTCGAGAGAGCCCTTTACGTCAAAAGCAGGGCACGTGCGTCAGGCATTACACAAGTCTTGTTGTGGGCGTTGCTTACTCCATCGAAGCAGCCCTCCATTATTCCTTCCGGCGGACACTCCAGCTGTCTGCCGCGTGAATATTCCAGAGGCCTTTGAGCGATTGCGCGCGCCTTGACCAAGCTCCCCTTGGCGCCTGATTAATCGAGCGGGGAATTAAGTTCAGAGTCCCGCCAGCGACAGGGCAGGAGGCCTTGGTGGAAAAGGCAACTGTTAGTAAAGAGGGGGCGGTGGTTTTTGTTGAAGGAAGGACAGTTGCGTGGAGGGGGTGATGGAGGAGGAGAAATAGCGTAAAGAGTAACAGGAGAGTCAGAGAAGAAATGGTTGTAGATAGAATTGAAGTTGCGGAGATTGTGCAAATTTTAATACCTGAAACTAAATCAGAGGTGAGAGCTGTTCAAATCGCTAAATCAAAGGTGTGAGCAAAGGACAAGAGACAATCTTCGTATTTTATTTTGTACTACTTGCGCACTAAATAATTTTCTTTTGGCCATCAGACAGGATTCGTTTATAGTTCAAATAAGTAAATTAAATGTGAAATATATAATTAACATATATTTTCCGTGACGATTTCTTCACTTGGGTTTAGTTGAGGACTGCTTTGACGAATACTAATAGATTCGATACTAGGGAGAAAACGTAACATTCGAACATGTTATTAACCTTGCCATAATACATAATACGGATTAACACCGTTTTTCGAAATAATGTCTGGCATTCAGAAATCACAATATAATTTTCTACAATTAATTGCTAGTCTTATACTTAGCCGTATCCAGTCGAATCGAGTGGCGCGAAATAAGAGAACGAAAGTTAGGAACGAGTAGCAGGAGTGAAGGTATTCTGTTTACGAAGCCCTTTAAACTTCGCGTCAAGGCCACGAAATATAAATGCAGAAATTCGTTACCAAGAGTTGATTATTTGAATTTGCAGTTGATCATGGTAACTAGTGGTAAAAGTTTAGATTGGTTATAGTAAGCGTACTGATGTACGTTCAGGTCATTACAATAATATTCCCTTTAAATAAAAGTATCTTAATAATCAACGAGGATTATACAGAGTAAGTGCAGGAGCGGAACGGAGTCGCGATGGCCTTGCGAACGCAGCACATTGGACCCGTCGCGGAATGCCCATGGCTTGGGCCCATGCTTGGGATCAAGATGCGTTGGGTTTCAAATTGCTTTGGTTAAAATATGCATACTCTTAGAAAATACATCTGATAGGAAGATTTTGTCATCATACGACGTCGTTCCGCTGGCGTAGTATTGTCTTTTCCATGCTCTCGCTTAAATGTGTCCATTGATATGACACAGCACCGTACCATACAATAAGCAATTACATTCCCATTTTTTAAACAAAATAAAATGTCATATGTTTAAAATATAGAAATACCTCAATATTTTCGAGTTTGATTCTGGCGAGTTTCAAACGTCCGTGATTAGAGAAATGCTATCAGTTTTAAAGTTCACGAACACGTCACTTGATCCTACTACATTTTTCTTAAAACCAAATAGATTTTTTTCAACAGTCATCTGGTAACACGACTTGACAGACCATCGAAACTCAACTCTCTCCAAAAATATCATGTAGGAATTTCGTTTCAGAATAACAGAATAATATTGCTTCTGTGGTACAACGCTTAGCGAACATGGGTTCTTGTAACCAAATTTGCGGGTTCAAACCCTCTCCATCCATTTTTGAACAATAAAAGCTCTTAAACTATTCCTAGTTTTTTCTTGTCTTACTATGTAGTTACTTACGTACTTAAGAGAAAGTATTGTAATAGTGCGGCATATTTGTCAACAAACTTGCCCTGATCAAAATCTTGGAGCATAATCTTACCACTTTGTTACGCAGCCAACGCTAACCTTTCTGACGCCTTTTCCAAAATTGATATTCTTCGATCGATGTGAACGAACTCAAGGCCCTGCAAATTTGATATTTTTATTTTGGAAATTATTTTACTGGAAGCCTCAACATTTTCAAACTTTTGTCAAAAATGGGTCCAATTTTTTTAATAAACTTCGTCTTGGAGTAGAGTAGAGATCGATCAAAAATGGCAAGTCTCATTTTTGTTGAAATACCTAAATATTCGAAACTTATAAACGTCCAAAAATGTTGGCAAATGCTGATCTAGAATTTTCTAGAAGAATTCTAGAAAAGCAATTGTTTTGGGGGGTTGAATGCATTATCGAGAACGACTTTAGGCGTCATGCTAACAATAATTAAAGGTAATTTTGAAATGAGACATTAAATTAAACAAGCATTTCAATTTCATAATAAGTTGTTTTCGGGTTTGTAGGCCGTGATCCAACGGAGACTGGTCCAAACGTTTCGCCTGCAACTGTGGCAGGCATCATCAATGATGCCTGATGATGTCAGACCGTTGGACCTCCGTTGGAAAAGGGCCTACAAACCCGAAAATAACTAATTATGATGTAGAAACCGGCCGTAAAAGTCTACATTGTATGTTAAGCATTTCAATTATACATTTTATGTAAGGTTCTATGTTCAAAATTCATTTAAAATTGGAATACGTTGAAAATTTATTTTTAATAAGAACTTTCAAAGCATAATAAAGACATTTTAATAAGAAAGTATCTACGGGAGGCCTAACGCAAAGCTAGTTTAGAATATCGTACTTGAAATAGCGCATATGTGAGGCCGTCGATGGGAAGGGGGCTTGGGCACGGGGCTGGGGGTGAGAGGGCTGTTACGAGCGGAGGCGCGTGTGAGTCGGGCCCCACCCCCGCGCCGCAAGCGGAGGTCGGGTGTTAAGTCGCGGGCGGGCGTCATGAATTTACAATGGCCCTGATAGCTCTCGTGGCTGCGCACGCGCACGCGCATGCGCCTTGCGTTGCGCGCGCGGGGAAGGCCGCGCACCTGCCTGCCCTAATGGTTTCACCCCCCCCCCGTCCGGCGAGGGGTCAAGAGAGCCCAAGGGGGCCGAAGGGGACAACGGGGACGAGGGAGATAAGTAAGCGCCCAAGTAGCGTTTTGACCTCACCCATGGGTAAATCACTTCATCGCTCATACAATAAAACAATGACGTAAGTGCTAAATTGTGAGAAAGAACGGAAATATGTCAGAACTGTTGCAGAAAATTCATGTATCTGCAGAAACATTTACTGAATTGTTATGTTGTTCTGGTCCGCCAGGGGCAAATTATGACGTTGTTGAAATGCCACGTGATTGTAACCTCATTCGACATGAACCACAACGCATGAGTTTATTCTGTATTGTTAGAGCAAGAGGCTCTCCCTTTCCAGTAGAACATTGTCACATGTGTCTTTATCGTATTCTGTGAAACGAAGAGCAAGCAATTTACATCGCAATACTATACACACCGTAAAATACAACGTTGCTATTTTTGTGAAATATTACATCAATACTACGGTGTATTTGTTCTTTGTGACACTGTTTACCAAATTGACTGATCGAAATCATCTCGTAATTGTTAAATACGACAAAAGGCGTATACATTTGTGGGTAACAATGATGCAATTGTAAGAAAGGTCTGTATTCAGAAGATAATATCAGAAAAAAAATATTAAAAGTGATACTTAACACTTTGGTGTGAGGTAACTTTTTGAGACTGCTGCTGCGTGTATAATGTTGGTATAAAGCAATTTCTTTCTGAATTTTGCGTTCCCTATAAAATTTTATTTTCTACAGTTACGTGTATATTTCATTGTAAGATGGACATGATAATAATAATACAGCTGAGTAAGATTGGTGTCTTTGGAACTACCTCGAGTAAAATAAAACAGTTCACAATAAAGCTCTGTGTACCTGAAAAAAATTTATGTCAACTGAAATAGAATTATCAAGTTCATGGTTGCATTCATTGGGAAAGAGTAAATACGCAAGGGTCGAAAATTCAACAAATAGCACACTGTAAAAAAAACTTTAAAGAATAATTGATTTGATAAGTATTGACAGGCAAATACTGTGCGAGAAAAAAGCGTCTCCGCACCAAGCCGGGTAAGGGACTCTTATTAAAAATTGCATTTATGTTGGTAGCAAGCAGAACGCTGGGAAGTAAGTGAATGCTAGAACACTTCCAGCATCTGATTGTGGGGAGTGCACAATTTACATTTTCATTTGTTACGGGCTGCAGCTCATGCTACCAACATAATTTCTGTTGCTAGCACTCTCACTATCAAGGTGTCACTGCGGATAAACTTTCCTGGCGCATTGTATATACAGTGAAAAAAAAGGTCGGAAATTAGCGGACACCTATTAATCGGTCCCAGATAGGGTCCCGGTCTTGTTTTTTTCGTCTATGACGAAAGAAGCATCCGGTTGAGGACGGAGATGCAGTGATTTCCATGCCCCAGTTGCACTCGGTTATGCCTCGCCAACGGCGCAATAGGACAGGTTGCAAAGCAAAAGCTATTGGCGTACGTTCAGTGACACAATGGTTGAATGGAAGTGAAAACAGTTCTTCAGAGTTACACGGTACATTGAAAAAAATATTTATTCAAACAAAGTGATACAAAACTGTGAAACTATTCAGATTTCAGAAGGAAAAAATACTCAATTTGCTCAGAAAAAATTACAAAGTTACATCACTAACTTTAGAAAACAAATGAGTATGGGATTTACAAAAGTATTGTAAGTCACTATACAAGTGTAAATGAATGATGGTACATAATGGCATAGACTGTCTTGTACTAGTTAATTTATTATTCTTTTGAGTTTGTCCTCAGTTTTGCCTCACCCTCTTCCCAGCTTCCATCTCTACAAATAATGTTATATAACATAATATTTACAGCACATATGAGTTAAAACAATGATATTCTTATACAATATTTATATAGATGAAATCGTGTTTTAAAAAATACATACATTTTTAACCATTTTCTGAATTTTTCAGTCCCATAATAAATGAAAACGTGACATGAAAACATGCAAACTTTTGAATTTTTGAGAAAATTTATGAACAATAACTTGAAGCCTTTGTACTCACAACTACAATAATGTTAAAAGAGTTACTATAAAGTAAATTTGTTAAAATGTTGAAGACTTGTGATTAAAAGAAATTCGTGTAATTTTTTGAAATTCACAAAATGCATCAAAATGGAGTTTTTCATATTATTCAGTGCATTTAGCAGTTACTTTCATTGCACGCTAAAGTAATCTCAGATTCACAATTTGAAACAAAATGTACATGATTTTTTTAAATTTATTTTTAAAGAAAATATTTTATCACTATAAAACATTTATCTTTTCTATTGTAAGAATGACAGCCAAAAATTCTAAACCTTCGCAGTTGAAAATCCAGAATATTCAACGAAATTCGATTCATTGTTTCATTTATCATATTATTCATTAACCATTTTTGTAAGTATAGTTTGTTTTATTTGAGTAAAGAATTACAGGAAAAATGTTTGAGAAAATTTTGAAAACGTTGTTGGAGCTTTATGTAAAGCATTGTTTAGCACATAGCGTACTGTTTAATCGTTAGAGTTGTTCACAAATAGACAGAGGGACTGACAGACGGATAGATGGTTTGCCATAAACCAATTTTTCAGGGGCCAACTGGTATAAGAACAAACAGAACGTGTATTCTGACATCAAAAACGAGCTAAAGTTGTATATTTTATCCACTTATTTGGTATCAGAGACTCCAAAACGAGTTTGCTCTCCAGTAGTAGTATTTTTTGCCGTCCCATTACAATAATTTCTCAATACTTAGTAAGTTATTTACGAGAAAGTAAAAATCTGTTTTCAACCTTGTAACAGTAGGAAGACGCCGAAAAATTAAACTTAAAAATGTTCAATTTCCCAAAATTATGAGAATTAAATGAATATTGAATCTATTCCACTTCTTATACGCGTAATATTTGTTCAATCCAATAAAAAACAATATATAATTGTAAATATTTGTTATAAAACTTCAAAAAACTTAATGCTTCATTTAAATTACCTCCAAATTTAAAATATTCGTTTCCAATTCAAGGGGCCGCGACATTAACCAGATCGATCAGAGAACATACATTTTGGTGAAAATCCTGATCACGGTTCATCCGTTAGCGTTGATCACAGACGGACGTTTTCCAGTAAACCAATGTGTTTTATCAATGTCCATTTTAACCCACAACTTATTAGAGGAAGTTATTTATAGGAACACATTCTATTTGCTTTTTTAGTATTAGGGTTCTTCAATACAAGTTTTTTCTGCCAAAAATCGCCATTTTTGCTGCAATATTCCAATACTCTCTGTTTACTTCGCAAGTAGTAAAGTAGTAAGTAAAAATAAAATAGAAATAAAACGCAGTTTATTTGACAATAGGCAAGTCATGTTGTTGAGAGTCGTTTTAATGAAAACCCGTCTGTTTGGGGCCCTTAGTTTGCAGTCTGAGAGAAACTGTCAACGAATGCTGAATAACGACTCTCGTTTATCATTTTCTGTGGCTAAACATATGAGTGGCAGGGAAGATCAGAATGCTGTTTTCAAACTTGGAGATGTTGGTTGCACTTACTAAACTCTTCGCCTCCATACGTTGAACTCAGAGGCTACTTCTTTTATGGGTGTGAGAGTCGCGCTCCGACGGGTGCGAGAAGAAACGCAGCAAAGCTAATTTTACCGAGAAGACGCTTGCCAATATTGTTGTCCAGAAACACTCATTTGCGTTCCATTTTCATTCCTTTTTTTACAAGGGAGTGGATTGGTTTCCTCCACTAATGATATATGTCTGTATCTTATCGCATGAAACTGCAATGTACTAGCAATTATTATAGTGTTAGTGCAATAAACAAACAAACAAAAACATTTTAAGACCGCTCTGGGTAAAACTAGCTCCTTTTCACCGCAGATGGTGTTATAACTGGAGCATGTTTCGATTATTTTGAACGCTAGACTTAAAAGTAAAACATTTTTTATTTAGCGAGCACTTTTAAAACTGCCTGCTCATTAAAACGCGATATGAATTCAAAACTGATTTATTTTGCTCGTATTGTTTGAGTGATTCACCCTATGTGTTTGTTGGTTACTTGTTAGTGATTCCGGGTGGGTCAATTACTGAGGTCGTCAGTCCTGTAAATGTAGTGCATGTTTCCCTCGTGAGGTGGCAGTGATCATTCCCCACTGAATGGCGAGGTCCAGCACCGACCTACCGTCGGCTAGCGGGGCTTCCTCAAACATATATCTCCCACCCGTGGGGTACCGCCCCAGTCGGGATAAGCTCTAAGCTCCTGACCGGTCTCTCGACCTGTGTGGTAGAGTAGTGCATGTAAGTGTAAAGTGTAAGTGAGTGAGGATGGGACGAGAAGAAAATCGTGCGTGGTCTGTGACCCGTTTGTTATGGTACTGTTCCGGCATTCGCCTGATGTTGATTGGAGGAACTACGGAAAACTGACAATCTAGGGTTGAAAATCTTGCCACTATCCAGACTCGAACCTAAAACCTCCCGGTCAAAGGCAGTGCAGTGACATCAGATGCACTGAGCCATTATATTGGTGTCCATATGTTCGTGTAACAACTTTCCCTCGTCACAAATTAAAACATCACATTTAACACTTGTTTTGTTTTCAGTATTTTTTCTTCTTCGCAATAAATAACGATTTTAATGGTGGGTTGTCGTAATCTAAGCAAATTCTGCTAAACTTATCTTTGATTTCTCCAATACGGTAATTGATGTACCCTGTAATTAGTAAATGGCATCACTTTTCTATCCGTAACAGAAAAATAAATAAAATAGTGAAGATGCTAAATCATAAATTGAGAAAAGAACTTCAATTCAACAGGGATATAAATCTAAGATGGGAATCTGAAAAGCTAGATGCACGAATATCACAGCAGTTACGTTGAACGCACAGCTGCTCTCGGAGGAGAAGTTCCGAAATAATTAGCCATTTCTCAGAAAAGCGTGAAACAAACCCATGTAAAGGAAGCGGCTTTATTTAGCGAATGAGCATGCAGTTTCTCTCCTTGGCTGTCTCTTCCCTATCCCAAGTAAAACAGCATCTCCACGTCCCGTTTCTTCCAGCAACACTTTACGTGGAATTTGCTTTACGTTTCGGTGCACCTGTCTTGTCACTCTCATCACTCTCATACCCTCCTTGCGGATGTTTTTTTTTCTACCTTCAATTGCTTTCATTTTCTTTATTATTTAACCCTAGACTCATTAAATCCATTTAACTTCATTGCTTTCGTTCCATTAATTAATTTATGGTCCTAGTTTCACCAAATTCTGCATTGGTCAACCTGTCAATGTAACATTTGTTTAAATTCTTTCTACACGCAATGAGGAGATTCTTGAGTTTAGGTGAAAATTAATACTCCTTGATACATTTCTTACGTTTCTTTCATACATTCCATCACCGAACGTATTTTTTTCATATTTACTTTTTATATATATAATATGTGTGTGTGTGAATATCAATTTACAAAAAATATTTTCATTCACATTAAAATAACATTCTTTCATATTCATCTTTCCTTGAAGGAAAGGAAAACCTTTCAATGTAACCGAACATAACCTTTTAATGTCCATATCTTGATCTTGCTACTGCCAACCCGCAAAGACTATTAAAGAATTTCAGTCTTCTCTCCTGCTAAATTTTTTAGTTCTTTGAGTGTTTGAATTAATTTTTACTGGCAATTTATTTCAATCTAATATTACATTGATTATTTTAGTATAGTTGACTTATTATTTCTATAATTCTTTTGTTTAATTCCAATGTTACGAATTAGATCTTCTTGAAAACATGATATTCCCATTATAATTTCCAATATTCTCTAGCCACAGTCACAATGTTACATACTCGCTTAAAATTGTTTGAATTTTAATTCGAGTAAACACGCACTGTTATGAATGCATGTTCTGAAATAATCCTCTTGATTTTACATATCGAAATACCAGTCTCTGTTGTTTGAAGATGTATTACATATTTTCTTATAATGTATTAATCGTTTCCTGTAAAACCAAATCCTTACTTTCCATTTTCAATGAACTTCGTGATCCGAAAATTCCTTGTAATAACAAAATATACAGGCAATATAATAAATTGTTAAACGAAACGGTCTCCAACTCTATGCAAAACCACAACAGAATTATTTCCGAATACTTCTGGGTAATCAAAATAATTCAATTTATTTGTTACTTCGTGGATGCGTAATGATTTTATAACAGAAACTGAACATACAGAGAGAACAATAAGGTCACTTAGAGGAAATATCCTTCAATCCGACCGTCATGCAATTCTTACAGCAAAAAAGCCACAGCTTTAATGGTTTCGAGGCTTATCAGTGAGCTAATTTCTTCGACCACGCAGCTGTAGTAGGCAATGACCTCATTCCACTCTCTTCAGAACCGTTAACTAAATCTGAATGTAAAGCAGAACTTGAGAAACCACTTTCTCCTTAACACAGCATTTCGTGAGGTTAAGCTCTGCCCAGTGTCCAACCAACATTTATCCATCAACAGTTATCCATCGGAAACAACACAGCAATTTAGGGCAATGAAAGGTTGGTATCGTTAACTTGATTCACACAATCTTGAGGTATCTCGTAGACTTCCCTTCCCTAAAGGCAAGAGAACATGCGCTAGGTGGCCACGAGCTGTAGAGACAGAGGACGGTTGCAGCAGCCGCATCACGCACAGTGATTCACCTTACCCTTTTAGACAGACAAACACTTAAAAAATCACATTTCTATAAATATTCGAGCAATATTCCGTTACCAACAGCTATGCTACCTTAAGAGTCAGAACGTTACTATGTGATTAGATGGAGGAGTGGTTGTTGTGAAATGTTAAGAATAATGGAAACAAAAGCGATATCCGTGTGGCAAAGTGAGTGGAGACATTTAATATTCCTAAAGTAAATAAATAAAACAAACAATTTAAGTGTTTTAAAATAACGCATCAACTGATGCAGTTATTAAGCGGATATACTAGTTAGTTTAAGAGATTTTTTCTCTCATTAAACATAGTAGATTCACTCACCTGCGAGTACCCTTCGTTGATTGTATCCCGAAGGCCCTTTATTGATTGTATTCCTATTGAAGGTGATGGCGGCTGGATCACAAAATAGTGGTAACGTAGGGTAATGCCCTGGCTCGATTAATTTTCTTATCACCATTCTATAATAAGTCAAACGACAAACAATAAGACACATGAAGTGAGCCTCCCAGAATGGCGACCCTCAGGCAACGGTGATGAGTGATGAACCCTCTACTTCTCTTCGATCGCATGGGGAAAAATACAATGCTTTGTTGGATAATACGATGTGTTTTGTTTGAGCGTGAGAACGTTTTTGCGAAGTACGAACGCAAAATGACAATCACATTAGTGCTGGAGCTGGCGGTAGACGGAGGTTTGAGGGAGTGGGGAGTGGCTCAAGGAGTTAGTAGAAGTTATACGAATGCCAAGCAGAAACTTTCAATGCCAAGTTAATGTACCTTTGCAATGCCAAGTCAGAAACTTTCGCAAATAGTCTAGTTAATGCGATTTATGTGGTTTAGTACTCTTGTTTGTTTAAAAAATAGATGAAACAATGACAGTTTGATAAATATTAATCTTTTATAACATAAATAGCAGGGGATGCAGGTGACAAGAAGTTAGATGAAAATAAGATGAAAAGGTTTTTACGTCGAGAAAGGGCAGCAGTAAAGTAGGATAAATATTTTATTATATTATTTAAAAAATTCAAGGGATTTTGTTTAAGACCTACTTTTATTTCAATTTTTGTTTCAAATTTCCGAAAGAGTTGATTATTAAAATATTAATAGTCAAAGAGAGTAAAAAATCAGTAAACAAAGGAGCAAAGTTTTGTAATGATGAGTAACTAATTAGTAAACGTTAGTCATTCAAAGTTTTCCATGTAAATAGCTATAGTTTTCAATTACGAAAAAGACAATATTATTTTATGTTGTTGTGTTCTAAAAGGTTTTCAGTATAATTCTGAGTGGCATCGACTCAATAGAGGTGTAAGAGGCGATATTGCAATAAATGGCGGATAACCGCAGTATATTTGAAATGGAAAAAGTTTATCATTCCCGTCAAGTCTGTTTCCTGTGATCGTTAATATAAATATGTAATTAAGTACGCTGGTAATGATCCATACGAGACTTTCTCCTTACAAAGCGGATCACGACTCCTGAACAGAACAAATTTCTACATCCACCTCGTGCGGAAAAACATTTTTCACGGGAGAACTTGAAAAGTGTGAATATTTGGTTTTAAATTGCTTAGATTTAGATTTTCAGATTAATAGGGTGAATAAGGAAAGACACCCGACGAGGAACGATTTCAGTACACCAATCAATGATTTTGCCCCGGATATCGAAACCTGATATGAAATTATTAACAAATAAAGTTTATATTGATAATTAAAGTCGTAATTAATTAAAAACATGCAGTTATAACAACTTAGTGCATCAATATTAAACTACCAACGATAATTGAAACAGCTTAACACAGACGTTTCCCGTGGACTTATCAGAATCGACCTCTTAGCAGGTTTATCCTCTTCCCCGTCCCCTTTCCCCAAATTCCCGCTCTTTTCCTTGCTCCACCCACCCTTCCCGCTTCTCCCAGCCTCTAGCTTCCTCCCTTCCACCTCCCCCACTGCACCCGACGCCGTCTTGCGTCGTCCAAGTTTGTAAACACACATTTTCTATATGCACGCACTTTTATATTCTACTCTAAATTGAAGTGTGAAGTATGTTTCTACGATCTAATTGTATTTTAAATTGTTACCCTCACCTGTAAGTGTTAATAAGTTGGAAATGTTAATTGCATTTATAACTAAGTCAACGTTTAAAAGTAATAAATAACAAGAATTTCTTGTAATACTATTATGGTTCTGAATAGATAAAACAGAACAAATCTGTGAAACTCCTGAAAGTTGTAGGTAACGGATATATACCTGAAACACGATGTTTATAGGATGCAGTAACAAATTTCAAATTAATCAATATAAATTAGTAATATTAGTGTAAAGAAAACCTGATATTAGAATCGTAATGTTCTAGTATGTGTTGCTGAAGGACTGAGCAAAGGCTCAGGTTAGGGACAATCTATGCTCGTCTAATATTTTCATCTAAAATTCACAAGCGTCGAATAATTAATTCGTTCGAAATTTATGACTTGGTCAACACCTCATAATTTCTAAGAGTATCGTTAAATAAAAATGGGGAAATTTTCAACTAGCTATTCTTCTTCGTTGAGCAAGCAATAAGGCTTAACAAGGAACAGTTTGATTTATCAAAGTATGTTGATTGACCTTCGTATCATTTAACACTCATGACGTATCATGTCAGATAGTGTGCGGTGTATTTGAATTGGGTAGTGGAATCCCAAATGTAATCTGCGTAGCCAGAGAGAGATTATAAGGAATTGAAGAGAAATAAATGCTTATTTTGTTTTTCAATAATGTGTTATTCCTTTAAATAATAAGGATACACATTTTGCACACATTTATTCTTGAATTACAAATAACACGTAAGTTTTTTCATAAATATAAGTTCATGATTTTTAATACTTAGTCCAACGGTCACTGTATATCTATCCGTGTGTTTAATTCTCCATACAAAATGTATGAGTCAAATTGTTACATTTTTATAAACAAATGTAATGTGAAGAGCCCAAAATAGAAAGAAATATTAACATTAGCAATAATAGCTTTTGTATGTGGTAAGGTATTCGGCTGCCTCACCTACATAATCTGGTGACTTCAACGCTGGAACGCAGCGTAAGGGGCAAGTACGACCTCCAACGATATAAAAAAGACGATTCAGAGTTATTACTAAGAACTTTAATTATTATAATCTTAATGCGTTACAATCTCAAATTTGATCATACATTTGTGAATAAAAAGTATCGTGATACATTGCAATATTTTCAATGCAATATATATATATACGGTTTGGCATATTATAATTGGCCATTTCACTTTGTGAAATAAACGAATGTAGAGCAGGTATGTTCGAGAAGGACAACCTAGAGATGACGGTTCCAGCCCCGCCACGGATCCGCTGCTGGCTGCTGGTGTCACGCAGAAGCGTGTTGGCGGCCACTGCGGCGGCGGGAGGTCGAGGAACCCGCGCGGCCACTTTCCCTCTCCGCGGCCGCCCCGTGCTGCGCCCTGGCGGCGGGCCGGGACTCCCGCGGGCGCGGCGGCGCCCCCGCACGCCGCCCGGCCGCCTCCGCCTCCGCCAGCGCGCTCGCCAGCCGGCTGGCAGGCAAGCAGGCTCGCAGTCCGTCGCGCGAGCCGTGCGCGAGCGAGTGTCGGTTGCGAGCGAGCGAGCGAGAGTGTGCGTCTGCGCGCGCGCGCGCGGGTCGCGATGGCGGCGACGGCGGAGCAGCTGCGCCTGGCGCAGGTGGGGCTGGTGGCGCGCAGCCCCGAGGGCCACGCGGCCAAGGGCATGGCCATCAAGGGCCAGGAGGACCTGTGGGTGGAGATCCAGGCCAACACCTTCCGCAACTGGGTGAACGAGCACCTGCGCGGCGCGGGGGCGCCCGAGGTGCGCGACCTGGCCACCGACCTGCGCGACGGCACGCGCCTCTGCGCCCTCGTCGAGGCCCTGCAGCGCCGCCCCATCCGCCCGCCCTGGATCCGACGCCCGGCCAACCAGCACCAGTTCCTGGAGAACGTGGCGGCGGCGCTCGCGGCCATCGCCGCCGACGGCGTCAAGCTCGTCAACATCGGTGAGTGGCGATGGGCGTGGTCGCGCCGCCCGCACACCCTCCACCGCCCACTCCCCCCTTCCCCTCTAGCAGCCGCCGCTGCGGCGCGGGTTGAACGCGGCCGGTCCTAAGAAAATGGCGGAATGGTGGAATTCCTCCTCATACACATGAAGATTGTCAAGAAAGAGACAAAAAGTATTTGTAAAGAAAGGGTCTTAGATTGGGAGAGGAGAATCCATGACGGAAGGCGTGACGTAATCCTCAAATAACATTTTGTTGTCTCTTAACGCCAGCAAGGTCTTCCGTTCTCCCCTTCTCGTACATCCGCAAAACCTGAATCCATAACGAGAAGAAATAATGCGCTCTCTCATGCAAATGTCGTATTCCAACATACACGATTGTCTCGGTTATACAGATCTCAGATTATCCTCAAGTGAACAATTTGTTGTAATAGCTCTCGCTCTGAACTCTCAAATGAAGATTCTGGTGATGTTTAGGGGCTTCATGAACACCTGCAGTCACACGTCGCGAATCGAAGTTTGCACTACGCCGTTGAGGATTTGCCTGCTGATGTCATTTCCGTGACGTCGGAGTCCCCATCTGCAAAAATGCGTTTTTCTGTCGTTAACACCCTCATTTCAGTTTCTGTACCACCCCTATTATACTTTGAAGTGCCCTGTGTTCACGGGTGGATCCAGCCGATCGTTTTAGGAGGGGCCATTGTAAATTTTTGATAAATAATAAACATATTTGTTATTATATTTAATAATATTAGTGTACTGTAGATACAAAATATTGTTTAAATAATTACATAATTCGAACATAAATATTTAAATCAGATTTGCCAAATAATGAAAATGAAAACTCTAGGCCTGGGAAGGGGGATGGCCCTCATGTCCCCCCCCCCGCTAGATCTGCCAGTCCTTGTGTGAAGATCTTGAAGACGAATAAGTGGAATATTTAAACCGTGATCAAAGTATATTGCGTGGGGCACATTTTGAGTCCAATCCTTCTATTTTTTATTCTCCACCCAAAAGCAACATTCAAATACACGTCAGAACGATCATTCAAATACATGTCATTCAGATACACGTCAATTAAAATTTCAACAGTCTCGTATGTTTTAATCGAATACATATATGAGGTTTTTATGTTCAGGTATAGAAAAACTTTACTGTATGATTCACAAAAATAAGTTTTCTAATGTTGCTAATCCATGATTCATTAATGTGTTTTGTAAACAGAACTACGTCAAAAAATCGTCGAGGTAAATTATTGTTCTGTTTCTTTAAAATCATACGTTTAGAAATTTCCATAGTATGACAGAAACGATCATGGTCTTATCAACACTAGTGACAGGTCTTGTAAGAAAAGTATATTCCGAAAAAATATTGTTTTCAAAGAATTTGGCAACTAAAAAAATGTTCCACAGAGCAATCTTCTTCTCCTGTGGAACTAGAAAAGGGTATTAATATAATTTCCTGTTTTGCGAAAAGTGTGCACATGCTGAACTATGTTGACATGTCACAGCTAAAGATTTTATCGTATACTGCACTTGTTTAAATTTATCTTTTGTGGAATATCCAGCTTTTGAAGATTTATTAGATAAGTCTAATCCGGCGACTGTTGTCAGTTAATATTGCGATAAAGGATTATGCTAATCTTTTTATGACTCTATAGAGCTATTAAAGTTGCTCTTTGTTTTTGTTTGACACTGATGCAATTTATATCCAAAATTTTTTTTCTCGAAAAGGGAAAATTAGAATACTTATATCCAATATTGTAATTAAAACAAAACAACAATTCTTTAATGTTATCATGGGTACTGAAATGTAATTTATTAATGTTTTAACAGCTTTTTTAACTGCCGAGAACTAAACCACGAAATCAATATTCATTCCACTCCTTTATCATTTATGAAACAATAGGATAAACGTGCCTTGTCAGGGAGCATAAATTATTTATAATTCCCGTATGCAATCTCGTAATTTATTTTTGGAAGCAAATGTCAATTAAATGTCATATTATGGTTGGTTCAAATTGAAAGTATAAATCAAATTCCGTAAATTGAATCCCGCCTAAGTCATATAGAAGACAGAAGTCTAAATCATACAGAATCATAAAAGAATTAATTTATGAATTCACAATTCATTTGTAATTCTAATTCTATTAATTTGAAATGCACATTTCTCATTCGTTTATTTACACCAATGCACAAATCTCTTACGTTTTACTTGAATCAAAGTAAAATTTTTGATTTCCAGTTTACGTTTCTCGGTGAGATGCAATGAATGTGATGGTATTATGATGTTATCACTTTTGTAATTGCACCAGTAATTCCATTTCACAATTGTAGGTACAATCACACTCTCACGTTCTTTCGGTAAAGCATCGTGTTATTTAATATTCGCCGGCGCATTTCCTTCCTATGAATCAGCTGCGACTCCGCCAACTCCAAATAAGGCGACCCCCAGTCATCTCCACCTAGACTGGTTCCAATGGCTCCGGTTTAGCCGTAGACACACCCGGCAGGGTTCGTGCGCGGAAAAAGGAAGAGCAGGCTTTGCACCAAGAAAACGCTGCGAAAGCTGCAATATTATCCTTTCCAACACTGCGGGTGGAGTATGCGCAGACGTTTCCGAGTTTGATTACCACTAATAATTGTGTTGATGAATCAGATGGACAACTTTATTACATTTAGTCACAATCGCTAATCGAAACAACGTAGCTTTGGGATTTGGCAATTCAAATTCCTATTATGAGACAAACTATTTTTTATATTTTATGTTGCGAATAATTATTCTTAGTAGCATTTCTTAATATTCTACGATGCGAACATTTCGTTATCATTGAATGGAGAACGGATGTACAATAACAAGTACATTTAAATGCTAAACTCGGATACTAAACTGTTTTAATTAAAATTTTTCGATACCTAGTTGAACTAGTGTCATAAATTCCAGTGTAGTAATCGCAACTCTTCATGTTAATTGTACTTTGGATTATGAGAAAATATGTGTGCGATGAACCGATAACCGCAAAGTCCAGAGAGATGAATGAAAAGAGAGTGCCGAAGTTTGGTTGTACATCCACATCTAAATTAGAAAATATGAACTATTTCAAACTACTTTGTTTTATTTCAAATTACCTTTCAACACTTACTTCTAAAACACATACATTAAACAAAAATTAAGGCATTATTCGGTTAAAACTATCTAATTTCTGAGCATATAATGATTTGAAGAAACACTTTTTTTAAGGCCGTGTAAATTTCAGAGAGTAGTGTGATATTAATTTGGAATTGAAATCAACAATGTAATTAACATTTATGTTTTAAAAGGTATGTGTGCTTTTAACCAAAATATCTATACAATCTAAGCTTATATTTCTCGTAATTTCTTGATAGCAGTTTCTAGATAACAAACTGAGATGTATTTTACCTTTTATTTTTCGAGTTGTGAGGCAAACTTTTCCCACCATTTAATGCATTTGCTCTAATCAAATACTCCAAAGACAGGATTAAATTTCGTATCAGATCCAAACCAAGCACATTTACAATTAAGCAATGACCTTAAATGTAATTTCAAAAGGACCTCTTTCTTTTTAAGCACATCAATCTTAATATGTTCTAAGGCTTTATTTAGATCGCGCGGTCTCAACCGTCAAAAAAAGATCGTTCCTATTTTTAACATTTACGAAAAGGAGGAAGCTTTCATTGGCAGATCTTGTTATTTTCCCAATCTTTCAATTCATATAGGTTTATTGGTAATGTGTTTTTGGCATTCCAAATATGAGAACGTTATTGGATATCGTCTACTTGTTATTTTAACCCAGAATTTTATGTCGTTTTCATTTTTTATTTCATTCTTGAAACAGATTCACTCAAATTTCTGTCTGAAGCAATAAAGATTAATTTATCACCCCATTTTCTGTTCTTTCAATTGTTATATTAAATTATTTTATTCCATTTCTAATTCAAATGATGTAGGAATATTTACTAAAGATTCCTATTATCCACTTATATGAATGCATTACTTAACATTTTCATGTGTTTTATATTCGATGATGATGATGGTGGTGCTGGTTGTCGTCGTGGCTTCACTATCGACAGCTGCTAACATTAATATAATAATCAAAAGTGACAACGCCTTCTATTCTCGTCTTTCAATTCATTGTCAACTTCCGAAATTGAATCTGGTGTGAGGGAAATGACGCGTGGATGCGTGGGCGTTCGGCGTGCGATGCTTGAAGGCCACGTGCTCCCTCCGCGCCCCGCGGCGCAGCGTCACGTCGCCCGCGGCCTCCCAATACCGTCGTTCGTATGCCGGGCGCGCGGCGCGGCGCGGCCGGGCCTGACTCAGAGGCAGCGAGGGAGAGCCGCTTGGCAGCGCTGCCCAGCGGAGCGGCACAGCGGCAGCGAGCCTCGCCCACCGCACCGCCCCTCGCGCCCTCGCCGCCCTCGCCGCCCTCGCGCCCTCGCCCCTCGCCGCCCTCGCGCCTCGCCGGCCCTCGCGCCCTGCGGCCCTAGCCCCTCGCCGCCCTCACCGCCCTCCGCCGCTCCGCTCCCCGCTCGCCGCCCTCGCCGCCCTCGCGCCCTGCCGCCACGCGCGCCTCGCCGCCCTCGCCGCTCTCGCCGCCCGCCGCTCGCGCCCCTCGCCGCCCTGCCGCTCGCCGCCCTCGCCCCTCGCCGCCTCGTCGCGCCCTGCGCCTCGCCGCCCCCGCCGCTCTCAGCGCCCTGCGGCCCCTGCGCGCCTCGCCGCTCTCGCCGCTTCGCCGCCCTCCCCGCCCTCGCCGCCTTCGCCGCCCTCGCCGCCCTCGCCGCCCTGCGCCGCGCCTCGGCCGCTACGGACCATCAGAGACTTGCCGGCTCGCCGCCACGCGCAGCCGCCCACGCCGCCCACGCCGCTCCTCGCTCGGCTGGCCGCACGCTCGCCGCGCGGTTAGGGCTTCTGCCGCTGTCACAGACACGCCGGAGTCCGACAGCTCGACGGCAACATAGTTGCTTCTGTAGCGTCGTTGAT